TAGATTAATTTTCCATATTATTTTTAATGAAAGAGGAAGAAAAGGAACATATTGGTAACTATTCAATATGGTGGAGTATTTTAACGACCCCAAATATACTATTGAAAAATAAAGAGTAGTGTCATTTTTCTGATACGACGCGTCATAACATCAAGCTGACTTTTCGATGATTTTTCTGTTTATTTATATTCGTGCACATATTGAAAATGAACTATAATTTGCATTAACTGTGAACAAACGCAAAGAATAAGAGGAAAACTCAGACAGGAGTCGGACATAAGCGCTTGCATTCTATTAATAATTACATATTCGTGCAATTTTCAGTCGAACTCGGGTTTATGAAGTTTATGAAGTTTATTTCTATGAATTGTTACAAGAAAAATGTTCGAGCTGATATTACGTTTCTTCAGACAGGCTTTAGAATATTCCATTCAGGAAAGCTTAAAATCACTCAATCGTAACAGCCATTAAAATAATAAACATCATACCATACAATATGCTTAGATATATTTGTATTTCTATTTTTGGTGTTAGTTGTAGTTAAATAGTACAATGATGCAAATGGAAAAATATAAAGAGTAATATGTATTTTCTCACTCTATGCCCCCTCCTCTATCATTTATAAATTTTTTTATCTGGCATACAAAACGATTCATAAATATATGTTGATGCTTTAAAACAGAGATTATGTAATTTTTTTTTAAAGAGCTGTTAAAAGAGCTTTTACAAATCGAGATTCACGGTACATCGTTAATATTATTATTAATATTGATTACAGATGCTCACCGATGAAGGCTGATTTGTAACGAGGTATCACGTTTACACATATAGCGTGTTCGGTCACTCCTGGGAAAAATTTTTATGGGAGATTCTAGAGGCCAAAATAAGACGAAAATCAAGAATACCAATTTGTAGATCGAAGCTTCGTTAAAAAGTTATTAACGTTTAAAGTTCCGCCCGTACTGAATTTTTTTCTCGAAAATGCACAGGATTTCAAGGGTATGTCTGTTCACCAAAAATGATTGTAATCGACCTCCACAGCTAAAAATAATTTTTCCAGAACGATTTGAAATTTTTTTTTCGCCGAAAAATTTAGGCACCTTTTTGAATTTTTTTTTCGAAAATAAGTAGGATTTCGGGGATATGCCTGTTCACCAAAAATGATTGTAATCGACCTCCACAGCTAAAAATAATTTTTCCAGAACAATTTGAAATTTTTTTTTCGCCGAAAAAAAGGTGCCAGGGGGCACCTACCCCCTGTCAATTTTTCTTAAAAATTCGTTTTCATATTTAATAACTTTGATTGGCGCTGTACAGAAAAGTTGTTTAAAATTTGTTGTAGGAACCCATGAACTCTACTGCAGAAAAAATTTCAATCAAATCCATTTACTATTGTAGAAGTTATGGTCGTTTGGACCATTTTTATGGGGGGTTTGTCACTTTGCGGGGTTAAGGAACAAGTTTTCGAATATTTTTAGAATTTCTACATATTCTTCATCAAAATACGCGTTGTTTGCCGTTTGAAACATTAGAATCCCCCTATCCGTTCAGAAGTTATTACATTTTAACGATTCGCATGAAATTTCCGGGGTGCATTCTGGCCTCACATTAGATTTTCGGTCAGGAATTTTTTTCTCGAAAATGCGTAGGATTTCGGAGGTATGTGTATTCAAAAAAAATATGATTGTAATTGACCCTCGCAATTAAAAATAATTTTTTCAGAATGATTTGAAATTTTTTAATAACTTTTTAACAAAGCTGCAGTCAAAAAATTGATATTCATGATTTTCGTCTTATTTTGGCCTCTAGAATCTCCCATTAAAATTTTTCCCAGGTGTGGCCGAACACCCTGTATAAGTAATGTTAAATATTAAATCAATTCACATACATGTGTACTGAACACCACAATGCATAATAAAACAATTTCGCAAACCTAGCATGAAAAACATTTAAAAAACGTTCTTACCTCGTTGATCGTAATTTGCCAAACCCCGCTTTATAGAATGAATTTGCACATCAGAGTATAGAACAAAATGTAAATAATTCATACTATAGTTTCTTGGTTACAAAATTGTGTATATAATTGTATAATAAACCAAAACATAAGCATTTCAAACTTTTTTTTTAACTTTCGGTAAGTCTGAAAGTGCCGTGAGCATAACTTTTGAATATAGACATTTTTCCTTAGTCTATTGTTCAGTTATATTTCCAGAAATATTAACATGCATTTATAAATCACCTTATGCGGGCAAATATTCATGCATTCAAGTTTTATAACAAGCCCCCTATTGTTAAATAATTCGCTTTTATAAATACATAACTATACAAAATTACAAACTAAGGACCGTTCCTAGCAAACGGACCGTTCACCGATCGGGGTGAGTTATACGTAATTCGATTCTTTTAATTCAGTACATTATTAATATGTATTTCACTATTTGCGGAAATTCGTTATCTTTGTTTAAACTTGACGGAAAGTCATAATAAAAAAGTAAGGTTAAGTATATTTTGATAGATTCGTCTAGCCAATCGACCATTATTTGTCCTATTAAATAAGACCATTGCAAAACGGTATTTTTATTTAATTTTAATTATATTATAATAATATGACATTGCTCATAATTGTATATTAGCATATATGTTAATTTTAAGACATCTGTAGCTGAGTTAGGTCTGGGTATGGTTAGAAATTCGGGGTCACAGGTAAAAACAAATGACTGTCGTTACTGTGTTCATGGTGTAAATTATAAACGCCAGGTAGTCAAATGCTAATTTGTTAAACATATATGCATAAAAGTCATCTTTTATGCACATATTATGCAGGAGTAGGTCAGGTAGACAGTATGTGCAGCAACAGTACAAACCCCCCCGACTTCTAATCTAATCCAGACCTAACTCAGGTACAGATTTCTTAAAATTAACATATATGCTAACATACAATTATGAGCAACGTCATATTATTATACATATAACTAAGTTAAATAAAAATACTGTTTTGCAATGGTCTTATTTTATAGGACAAATAATGGTCGATTGGCTGTAGGAACCTATCAAAATATACTTAACCTTACTTTTTTATTGCAACTTTCCGACAAGTTTGAACAAAAATAACGAATTTCCGCAAATAATGAAATGCATATGAATAATGTACCGAATTAGACGAATCGAATGACGTATAACTCACCCCGATCAGTGAAAGGTCTGTTTGCTAGGAATATACCCAAATTAAATATACTCCATGAATTCCATTGTCACCATTGCACAAAGAAAAGCACGAAAATCTTTTAAAGTAAATGAAACAGGCCAAAGACACAAACAGAAATTCTGCCTAAAAACCCATGCACTATGATTTACTTGTTGAATGAGTGCAACGACAGAACGAGCAGCAAACACAGAGTACAAAATTTTGCTCACCTCCTGCGTATCCGTGGCGAGAGAGAGAGGGAGGCAAGAAACATTGCGACACAACTAACAATGTCATATTAAACTGTCACACATCGTGCGCGTGTCCTTTCAAATCGTACGTGATTCACTTAACGTCTACGTTTCAATGCGACCGCTTTTAACCCTGGTTTGGCGGTGCCTGGGTCATTTCTGACTCAGTCTTGAGTTTAATCGTTGAGTCGGTATCCGACACTTGAAGTTTGTTCGCGTAAAAACGATAAGAAGACGATCGTGTACCGAAGGAACGCATTTTCTGGCAGTATTCAGTGTGTTGAGAAGTATTCAGAAGGACATATTCGCCTTTATCTAAAATACACAAAATTCGTACGATGTTATTTCATTATTATGTTAATTTCTATAAATATTGGTGAAGGAATATCGTTTCACACTGACAAGTGTGGAAACGAATATCCAATGGAAGATGGAAATAGTTATTAACGATATTCATTGAATGAAGAGTGCATTAACTGTTGAAAACATGTAGTTCCATTTATATTAAGTACATTGAATGTTTCCGCTGCTATTGAAGATATGAAAAAAATGACTCAGATTGAAACGATAGCTAATAAAATAACACCAATCATTTCAAAGCCTCAAATGTATTTCTTTTATATAATTTCATATATTTGTAAATACGTGACTTCGTAATCAGTATTGAAATCACTTCAAAGATGAAAGACATCATGACCTTGAAATGACCTTAGGTGATTAGAATGGCCAGAAACAAGAGCAATGGACATTTGTCAGGTAGATCATTACTCATACCAACTATATAAAAAAAATATTTAATAACTTGGAAATAGCTTATTTTTCAAAGTTTGGACTATGAATTTTTCAGTATCTTGAATAGCATATATTTAATATGTATAAGCAGCATCCTTCATCTACGTTGTCAGAAGATTAAGTAAATATCCATATATTTACTAATTTTTGTAGAAGAGAAACGTTTACAAATACAATAGAATAAGAATCTGGCGGCATAGTTCTAGTCCGGAGCACGCTAAAGACAAGAACGTGGTCAGAAACGACCGAGGCACCGCCATTAGGTTGATTTGTATGATACAAGTTTACGAGCCGAAACATACAGAATCGTCTATCTGAGTAAGGTCCTTCGTTTCTTGCTAGGGAATCCGTGGGCTTCTTTTCGTGGACCTGAAATATTCTCGCGCAATGCTCGCAACGATGCTAGTTTTCTTTTCGTTTGTTTTTTTTTTTAGCAGAAACATACGGACTCCATTCGGGGCAGCGAACCCACCCCTCGATCTACACAGTATGTACATACACGATAAAACGTTTGCAACCTGACGCTATACATTAGTTATCTAATCGGTATAAAATCGTGATTGTTTGTAAATATTCCGTTAATCTGTAGCACTTGATTCAGTCGCGGTCGCGACGTGCTTATTATTAACAATTGCCCGGAAAACTGTTTTCTTCTCGCTGCGAGGCTCGAAGTCATCCTCAATTAATCTAAGATTTTGATATGAGCAAATTGGCAAACGCATTAACCTTTCCAATTTAAGTATTCTTACGGGCCGATAACACTGGGAGGTTGAAAGAAAAGTGAAATTCTTTAGAAATTATTAAACGTTCAACGATATAGAAATTTACTCGATCGTAATTAGCTTTTTTTTTTTTTTAATTTTCTGACATGATTACGCGCGGGATTCTCGAAGGGCTCGAAAAATTGGAAAGGTCGAGTATCGTTGCTCCTTGTTTTGATTATACGTTTCGTTTCAACTTTCTACAGTTTGTGTCTGTCAGTGTTTCATACAGTTCTCGATCACTCATGGTAGAGTTCTTCTTTAGGTCCATTGGATCAAATACGGGGTTTTCGGTCTTAGGAATCTGTACTTTTTTCGAACCGGATCGCTATAACGCCCGCTAGTGTAGATCGGTAAAAGCTTCGCAGATCGGTTTCCCCGAGGATTTCTGCTTCTAAAACAGAACACAAAAATTCTCGGGTGAGATTGCGTCAAATGAATCAAATCGATGAGTCGGATCGATGTAAAAGAGAAGGACACGACGAAAGAAACTGTAGGGGTCCCTTAAATCTACAAAAGTTGCAACAATTTTTTAATTAAATTCTAAATAACAAGTGGTCCGTTCCTATATAGATTAAAAGATGAAACTAAATGATCCTTTGAAACAGAGAATAAAATCTAAGGGTCGGAATAAGATTAGTAAAACTATAGTAAAAGATATTGTGAAGAATTTTTAATATTCGAGTTCATAAAAATTACTGACGTATATAGGATTGATAAAAATTACTGTGAACCCAAAGACAAAATGCTTGAAAGTCACTAAAAAGTAAAAGATAGAAGATAGGTAGTTTGATACTGGTCTACTATGGTGTCGAATTCGGTCATGTTGATCAATAACGAAATGCAATTAGTTCGACATATTACCTCTAAAACACTTTTGGACTAGTATTAGCAATTTGCTTTCGACAAAATGAAATTAGTTTTCCATACAGAAAAAAATATTTTTGTCCCTTATATTCCACTCTAGCTCTTAACATTTCAGAGTGCATAATAAAATATACATGGTATCCCGCAAAAATATACTGACGGCTAGAGGACAACTCTTCATAAAAAAATAAAGCTAAAGTATAGAATAAACTTTTGTAGTTTGAGGCTTCCTTTTTGAGAAAATCATTTTCGACTTGAGTAATGACACTTGTCAATTAATTATTATTTTTATTTGTGTTGGCGTTTGTAAACATTCTAATTGTAATTAGTTAAAAAGTAGTGAAATCAACGAAATAAGACTAATACCATATAACCATTAATCAACATGAACATAAATAGAAATAATAAATTATGGTTGGACGAAATTTAGAAATTATTTTTCTACATATCGAGGATAATATAATTTTTATTTTATATTTTTGATTTACTTTTTCACGAAAGTACTTAATTTCAATTTCATTGTAATTTTGATTTAATCACTCCTCAATTAGTTAGGCTAAATCCATTCTTGATAGGACTGGACCAATGAACAGTTCGAAATTTGAGATAGTATCATAGCCATTCTAGTGTAGCCTGAAGTGATGCGATCTAAAGTGTTTATAAATACTAACACAAGTAGAAACAATAAGTAATGGACAATGCGCAATCCGGAATTTTAAGCGCACTCAAATAATTTTCATAATCGCTTTTCTCTGCAAACGAAGCTTCTCGCAATAAAGCTTTTTCTACATTTTAGATTTATGTACTTATTCAACAAAGATTACCTTTTACTAGCACTACTTTTTCCAGTATATTCTACATTAAGAATTAGTTAATCCTCCAATCGTTTCGTTTTAATCCATCAAGTACAAAATTATTGTTCTTTTCTCAAAATTTTGTGTTTGAAAATATTTTTTTTTAATAGGAAAGATAAAAGTTCTTCTAAAGTTACGGGATATAATAATATTGAGACACTTGTGCGGAATATAGTATAAAATAATATGCAACAACAATATGAGACACTACAAATATTTTTTTTAGTGAATAATCATAAAATGTTAGTTAGTTTTATTAACCAAAATTCGAAAATATTCTAAACCAAAAATGTCAAGTTAGTTTTTATCCATGATATATTACAAAAAGGGTTACAAAAAAGAAATATTTTAACATTATACTTCACAAACTACATGATATTCAAATAAATATTACTATCATTAAAAAAATGTTTATTTCAAGGTTTTTTAAATAGAATTTTATTTCAATTTCTGTTTCACCTTTTCATGAAAAGTCAAACTAAATTCAGTAATTATTTACTTCAGGGGACCTGAACTCCAATTTTGATGATTTTTAAGTATGTTATAGAAAACAAGATTCTGAACAACTGTTTCCTATTCATATAACCGCCGTACAGTCTTAGTTTCCAAGATATTTGCAAAATTCCTTCCATTCTGCTGCATTGAATTCTGCCTAGACGCACGCATCCGTAGTAAAGTGTGCGTCAACGTAGGGTGACACTAATCTGCTATTTCTATAAACATCAGCAGCGGCTGGCAACCAGAATAATATAACGGGTGAACCTAAAAATTGAACTTAACCGATTTCGAATGATTTTGAATTATGATTGCATGACCGGCTACCTCAACCTAACCCAGAGCTAGCCTATCCTCACTGGGTGATACGTGTGTGATGTCAAGATCAAATCTATTCGATTTGAACAATTTTGAATATACAGTGCCGAACAAAAGTATTGGCACAGACCGTATTTTCAAATAAAATGTTATGTAGCTGTGAATAAAGCACAATGTCTTCTTTATTTTTGGTATAAAATATAAGTTTGAGGTTTGAACTTTAAGTATCTCGCGAAATAAAGCGGTTAAGTAGACCTGCAATAATGAAAAATAGTAACAAATACACAGAGGACAATTTTCGGCGAAACAAAAGTATTGGCACACTTGTAAATTTAATATTTCTATGAAACACTTATGTAAATATTTATAATATTGGCATGACTGTTGTATCCAGAGAAGTCCCGAGATTCAATTTGATATTCATTTGTTATTTCTTACTAAGTTTGCCTGTAATAAAGTGAATAATACAACAATGTATCGAAAAACACGGGAAACAACAATTTCAGAGAGAAAAATTATATTAAAATTATCAAAAGAGGGAAATTCATATTCTACAATAGCTCAAACGGTTTCCTGACGAACAAAATGTAAAAAATCTTCCGCGAAGTGGTCGTCCACAGAAATTATAAGAACGAGATAAACGAAAAATTACCAAGATTGTAAAAAAAAATCCTAAAGTTGCCTCTACAGAAATAGCGGCACAAATGAAAAGTGAAAATAAGGTAGATGTACATTCTATAACTATCCGGAGAGTTCTTAAAAGTGCCGGGTACAATTCAAGAGTGGCTAGAAGGAAACCATTGATCAGCAAAATTAATTGAAAAAACAGATTAGAGTTTGCAGAAATGTATGTGCACAAAAATTTAGAATTTTGAGATAGAATATTCTTCTCTGATGAAAGTAAATTTAATATTTTTAAATCTGATGGTCAAATAAGAATATGGCGAAAGCGTAATACCGAGTTGGATTCACATAACATAGTCTCAACTGTTAAACATGGGGGTGGTAGTGTATTAATATGGGGTTGTATGAGTTCCTCCAGACTTGGAGAACTAGTTTTTATAGACGGTATTATGGATAAATTTGTATATTTAAATATTTTGAAACAAAACTTAAAAAAAGTGTGGAAAAATTAAATCTTGAGGAAAACTACCATTTCCAACAAGATCATGATCCCAAGCATACTGCTTATATTGTCCGCCAATGGACCGTTTTTAATACACCCCATATATTGCCAACCCCTCCTCAATCGCCGGATTTAAATCCGATTGAACACATATGGAATGAGTTAGAAAGAAGGATCCGACAACACCTTATTCAGACAAAGGACCAATTAAAAGATGCACTTATGAAGGAATGGAACGAAATAGGTTTAGAAGTAACACAAAATTTAGTACATTCGATGCCTAATCGGTTACAAAGTGTAATAAGACAAAAAGGATTACAAACAAAATATTTATTTGAATATTCTATTATAAAATAGTAAGTGTGCCAATACTTTTGTTTCGTCGAAAACTGCCCTGTATGTGTTTGTTATTATTTTTTATTATTACAGATCTACTTAATCGCTTTGTTTCGCGAGATACTTAAAAGTTCAAACCACAAACTTATATTTTATACCAAAAATAAGGAAGATATTATGCTTTGTTCACAGTTACATAACATTTCATTTGAAAATACGCTCTGTGCCAATACTTTTGTTCGGCACTGTATATTTGATTAGGGTAGATTTATTATTCAGATCGCCATTAGGCGGCCTGCCACGCAGACCGAAGTTCAAAATCATTGAACGAACACATATATAAAGGTAGAATTCAATCTGTTTTTGGTTCACCCGTTATGTTATATTGATCGTCCTCCGTTACGATGATTTCTATAGAAACAGCAGATAAATGACGGATGAACGTTGACGCACACGTTGCTACGAACACGTATGTACGTATAGGCAGAATTTAATGTGGTAGCATGAAAGGAATATTGCGAGTATCTCAGAAACTGAGGACCTGCGACGATTATATGTATAGGAAAAACTGAAATTTCGCTCTTTTTTTTACATAAAGTTTCATATTTCCCAAATAACTGCTCTAATAAAGAAGAAAATTTCGAATAAGGAATCCTAAAGCTTTCTGTTGTCTTTAAAATCGAATTAATATTACGACTGTACTCGGAACCTACTTAGTATTTGTAAATTGTACGGTATATTGAAGGAATACTACATGGAACTATGGAAACTTCGTCCAGCGTATATCTATGTATAACCGAGGAACGTTGACACGAGGAGAGAACGTGATCATTGGTGTTGCGTATCGACGCGAACGTGCTCAGCAAAAGTGGCCCTCTGTGTCGGTGACCTTTTTGTTTACAACAGGTAGAAGTCGAGAGGATTCGACTTCGGCGACAGAGACACTCTACATCGAACTTGCGTTGAGAGTAGTCGTTTATGTTTTTTTATGTACTTTTTATCGAATAGTTATCGTAATTTTAAATAATACAGTTAACATAGTAAACTGAAAAGTGTCTGAAAGTTTGAATCCTACCACACACCAGTTATCCATCCTTGACACCTTACAATTCTATGTATATTAACCCTTTGCACTTGGAGACAGTTCTCTGACCGCCTACTAATAGCTTTAGCACACTTTTCTACGACATAGTGGCAAACAAATCGTACAAATTAACTGATATAACGTTGGAATCGATTGATATTTTCCTTACAATCTTATAGAAATTATTTATGAAGCAAAAATCAAATTTTTTACATCTAACATATTTATAATGTGTGATATCGTTTGAAAGGACCACCGATATGCAAGTTCGTTAAAACACAAAAATAATTTGATTTTTATTTTTCTCCTCATCA